TATCATGACATTAGGTGGCATCTTTTTCTACAATGTTTCTAACGTGAAGTATTCGATTATTAAACAAGAATGTGTTTAAAAGGTTAGACTGCATCAACTGCATCAGAAAAAATGAATTTTTCATCAAAAAGTCGAATTATATTGACGAACTTTACGATTTAGTATATTTTGTAAAGCTGTACACCAAGTTGTGCACCAAGTTTTAAGAAAGTATTCTCTTACATGTTACATATAAAGCAATCTTTCAAAAGTCGAGGTTATTTCAAAGCATTCTTGAAATAATGTGTTGCCTCTAAGTCCAAAAATATTTCCCAATATTATTTCTTTTGGCTAAACGACGCCGTGATAGCTTCTACTAAATGTAACTGTGAGTGGCATCAATAGATTGAAAGCTACTTGGAAACCGGTTAAGCACTTCTAATGTCTGCATTGTGGATGGACACAGGCTCAGCGAGAGGCAACAAGAAATGTCAGCTTCTTATGATTGGATATTTATGCGCAGTCAAAACCCAAAAGCCCAAATTATGTCGATGCCGGCGATGCCGTTCTTTTCTAACAGTTAACGTGGCCAGTGCAACACCATTCGAAATGCAGAGAGAAGTGTCTTTGGCCACGTTGCAACTTTCTACAAAAAGAAAAACAAGTTGAGTGGCATCATTTGCTTTTGCAGCATGACTACGCCCAACAGTCCAAGTCGGCGGCCGAGTGCGAGTAAGCCTCACAATTGAATGCTTCAATGGAGCAGAAAACGTTTGGGTAGCAAAATCGTTGCTGCAACTTGCAACGAGCACAACTTGCCCCGTGCTCGTCGCGTATGTCACTCGCTCTTGATTTGCTGCAAATGTCACTGCAAATGAAGCTCAAGTTAATTTGCTCAAGCATTGGCTCGCCTGGCTGCCCCAAACTGGGGGCATGACCATTTCCAGTTGAGCGCAACGCAGCGTATGTTAATTTATGCATTAATTTCGGTTGATAACCGACAAAAGAGTCAAGAGTTGGCGAAAAGGCGCAACTTAATTGCGCGCATAGCTGAAGTAAATTGCTATTTAGCCCGCCAATTAATTTGTCAAAAGCTAAAACGGCCTTTTGGAGGCTGATCAGTGCCTGTGCCGGGTCCACTCTGCTGCAGCTGTTGCTTCTAGATAACTTTGTGCGACTCGTAGGCAGGTGTCACAGCTTTCACCTTGACCGGTTGTCAAATTGAAGTCAAACATCTGCAGCATGGCTCAAAACACTATGCAAAATAATAATCTCTTAACAAAATCTGACGCATTTAATTAGATAACTTTGCGTTGAGTCTCTGACTCTTGATGTGCTCACATCAGTTTGAGCCAAAACAAAGAACTTCCCTTCACAAATGCGAGCTAAATGCGAGTCATTTGCTTATTTGCATTTCAAAGCTAGCCAAATTGAACAAAGACAACTGCAAAAGGCATTGAAAAACTCAGCATTTTGGTAGTTAATTAGCGGGAACGCGTTGTGAGCATGATAAATATCCAAGACATGGCAATAGAGAAACATAAAATACGAAAGGTGGTCACAGCATGAAAGCCAGAAGCCGCAAATGATGCCGTCTATAGAAATACTGGCATGCGAGTATTATTGATCGAAAGTTGAACGAACTGCGTCCAGATTGTAAATTGGTAGCCGTGTATCACATAATTATTGGCTCCCCAACAAATAGAACTACGCACAAAGAGCAAGGCCTCGGTGATGAAAGCTCATGCCATAGCAAATTAATTAAAAGTTTCTGGTATTCTGCTCGCCAAAACTTACATATCCAACAAAAATAACATTATTATATCAGAAGATGTTCTTGCTATAAAAAGATCAGTAAATATCCTTAATAAATCTGTACCAAAAATGTATAAAATCATCTTTAAAATAAAGTAGTTTGTTAATGGCAGAATCGTTAGATTTCGGTAAGATTTCTGTAATCTACCTTCACGCATTAGACTGAAGGTTGAGGTAAGCTGCAGACTCTTAGTTAGCCGATTTAGCAAGTAAACAAAAGTTTTTTGATGAGCTTGCATGACATTTTTCCTAGCATTTATAGAGATACACAAATAACTGAGATCGTGGAGAATGGAGATTCACACACTTATGAAATACAACTGGCAAAGTGTTTAAAACTAATGTTTTTTCCTAACTAAACCACCATTAAAATTCCACTTTGAGCAACAAGTTACAAAAATGTAATAAAAGACTTCGAGATGCTACTTATAAAGACTAACAGCGACAAAGCAGATGTGCATATAATTGTGACGCTCACTGTGCGTGGCAATGGCATAGTTAGCATAGCTCAGTGTATGTAGATAGCTTGAGGTAGATACAAGCTTGAGGCTGGCAGCCCCAGCACCTCCAACTTAATTACGCCCATGCACTTTAAAAAAAAAGAAAAAAGCAAAAGTAGCGGAATGTTTCAGTTTCATTGGCAGCCAGGCATGACGAACGCGCAGGGGGGTGGAACGGGATCGTAGCAGCTGCCAGAGGTGTCCAAGAAACTAGGCTTAGATTGGACATCCGAATAGCCAAAAGTAGCATACCTTTAATTTAATTAATGCATTGCACATATCGCGAGATAAGAGCCGAAGTTTATGTTGCATATGGCATCAAATATATTTCTCCCGTTTTCTGACACCGCCAAATTAAGTTGGGGCACATACAAGACATAAATCAAAAGACGGCATCCAAATAAATATGTGTGCCCCAACACACGCCTAAGGGGCAGCCACCAGCCCAATTAAAGCGCCTTTGTTGAGTGAAAATGTTCATAGTCGCCAGCATGGAAATGCATTTTCATTTTCTAACTCTAAATGCCTAAAGCCTAAAGTGGATAGGGGAGTCTCCCCTCCGCATGCAACTTCCTCATTTATGCACTTCACAGAGAGAGCAGCTCGAGCCGCGAATGAACCAATTTTACATATATAATTAGACCTATATCATTATGTGCCCATGTATCTGATTGCATATGTGCGTGCACCCGTGCACCCCTTGTGGCTATTATTAGCTGTGCCACCAGCATCCCCCCAACCCCCCGACTGGCCACATCTCCCTTAAGTGTTCAGTTCCGCTTGCTGCTGTGCGAGAGATACGGATGCTGATCGAGCATATAAAAGTGCAGTCGTTAGAACTGTTGCAACTAGGAGACAATTGCATAATACGAGCAGCTGGTTAGCTATGAGGAAAGTGATGTCACCTTGCGAGCAAAATTATGCAATTTTCTAGCCGGAAAAGTTCACCTAATTGTAATTGACAGCATCCTGCAGGCCTCAGTATAACATACACTAGAGAGAGATTTGCCGCAAGACTGCCGGAAGATTTTAGCGGCAACAATTCTGCACAATAAGCCTAAGTAGCTAAGGTTCTCTCTCGAGTACTTAAATAAAATAAAATGTGTTTTTTAATGATCCAATAAAAAAAGTGTTCTGGAATCCATGTTTGTATTCCATCCAAAGGCAAAGTGCGGTTCTAGAGACAAAAAGCAAAGAACAGCAAGAACAGAAGCTCGCGTCCTAATCAATATTATAGCTTTGAGAACTTTTTGTCAATTTTGGAATTTTTCTCTTACTAAGTATTATAACAATATTGTCTTTACCAAAGAACAATAAGCAAAAGAAAATCACAGCAAAAAACTTATGAAATAATTAAATTTCGTAAATATTTTTTATACATTATTTTTTGTCATCAGTAGTTGAGAGATTAATGTACGATTTTCAACATTCTGAATTCGTTTATGCAATAAAAAAGTCAAAGCCGCACTTGATGTGTTCACAACTTGAGTTGTTATATACATAAGACAACCCAATTAAATTATAATACTAATAAAATTACTGTACGATTCTAACTGCATTCACTGGGCTATAACAAAATGATTTCGCATATGTTTTATAGTAACTTTTTTAATTTGATTAACAAACTCCTTCGCTTATGGGCTCTAAGTTTGGCTCGATGACATAAGTGTATGCATAATGTTCATCAACGTTCATTGCCATTGCTTTCACCACAAGTACATAGGCATTGTTATTGCTGTTGTTGTTGTTGTTTTTGTTGTTGTGGGGGCTCGCTTAACATTGGCCCCTCGTGCGTTTAACATTGAATTAGCAGCGCCCACGGCTTGGTCTCCTCTCTGACCACGCACTCATCGGTGACCTTAGCCTTCGCTTTAGCAGAAAAAGAAACAAGTGTGCCCTAGTCGGAAGTGCCAGACTGGCAGATACCCAGTACCCAGCGCCGGGATGCTATTACTAGCATTGGAATTCTTTTCTAAATAAGGAATCAAGGTACCAAACCCTTAAGCGAATGTGCATCTTCCCAAATCCGTGGCAAATGCCTTCTTTAAAACTTTAAAACTTTTTACAATGTCTCTGAAGTTGCCTCTTGCCTGTTGCATACATATTCACAAGCAATAATACCCATTTTCAATGCGTACAGGGTATAAAAATAACAAAAGGCACATGCAAAAGAGACGCATATTATTATTAGATATTACCCAGAGGCAGCACAAGGCAATTTCGCTGTTATTTGTTTTGCAGCTAAGGCTGAGGCTAATGGCACTCGATCTTTTACTTTATTTACGACCACATTTTTTAGCTTTTATACTTGGTTGGCTTTACAGTAGCGAGCCATATCTGATGATCGATTTCTATCTCTGTGCGCCCCTTGACCTCGTCGCATTGCAAAATGTGCCGTTGGCTCTTTGTGCTTCTGCAGCAGCCGGTGTAGTGGCTGCTTTGCACTCCCCAAACGAATCTGCTTGTTGATCAGCTGCTCTAGTTTAGTTACTGCTTTACCGACCGCGCTGGAAGCCAATTCTTCGTTTATTGCACAGCTGAGGGCATGCGCAACCGAATAGGGCGAATAGAGAGGAAAAAGGTGATAAGATCAGGCCATAGTACCGTTTTAAAATATAATCGCGTGATGTAGAGCTTTTGAAAGCTTCCTTATTTTTTTTGTCGTTGGGAAGTAGTAAAGGTTAAAAGTACAGCTCAGCATGTCAGATATATTTGAAGCGCGTGCGAGTTAAGTTCATAACATTTTTTTCTTTCTTTGCAAATAATTTTTGCAAAGACATCAACGACCAAGGCTGCCATTGTGGTACAGTTTGGAAGTGTTCTTTTGGTACGCTAATAGAAACCAAAAACCTTCATAACAACTCGACCCACTAACCTAATTGTGATTCGGGGTGACCCTTAAAGAAAAGGTATTTATATGTGCTAGTGTTGAGACTTGGAACTAATTAAGGCTTCCACAGTTTCCGTGCCTGCTCAGTTGACTAGATTTAGACGTACTAGTCGGCACTACCAGAGGGGGAGATCGGACCAGACAAGGGCAACACCAAGAGCACGTGTCGCACTTAGCAACCCAGCAGAACCAATTTTGTTGCTATTTTACTTATCAGCCGCTGTCTTGCGAAGAACAACATCTGGCATAGCCTCGGAAAACGGCGTCAAGCGGGTGAAACGCTTACTATTTATGCAGCACCATCGGGACCGCATGCACTAAGCATATAGTGTAACCTGCAGAGAGTAACAAAGGAGCCGAGTCTGTATTACTTTTGGTGTACCCCTTTCGCTTGCTTAGCAGCATTGCCATATAATTCCATTAATTGTTTAACGTTGCCAAGATGGACGGCTAATAGATCCTTAGTTTTAATTTTTATTTCCTTTAATTTTTTTTTCTTTTACTAATTTCTTTAAAACAAAATGTGCAATGAATATGCCTAAATAAGTTAAAGCGAGAGGAAATTCCTACACCACCGACCTTGACCGTTGCTCATATATATATATATATATATATATATATATATACATGTGTTTATATACTTATAAATTTCTTTTTTGTAATATTTAGCAACAGCGATCATAATCGTCGTATACATTGGGCCCAACGTCTGCTTCGAAGGATATCGCGTGAGTAAGAGTTTAAACCAATGCCTATAGATATATGTAGTTATATACACACATGAACATTTAAATGCAGTTAATTTAGCAAGACGGTAAATTAATTACTATCCGTCAAGTCTCAAGATAATGTTGGTGAATTTCTCCTTCCCCTTAATTTCTTTATGGGATTTAAACTAGTTATTGCACATTCATCATATTAACTTTGGATTCAAATTTTGTTTGGAAACTGTATATTTTTTTTGTAAATAGAGTTATACTCACCTTGCTATTAATTGGCAACAAAATTGAACAATGCGTGAATAAACGAATTATATTAGCTTATATGATATGATATCCTAATTCCATAATTAATTGTTTTATCTGTCAAGTACCCATGTTAGCCGCTTGCAATCTATAGTGATGGTTTAAGAACCTGAAATAGGGACAAGCATCCACATTCCATTTTTTTTGCTTGTCAAGGTAGGGAGGGTAAAGAGAAAGAGAGACGATCAACACCTTAGTTCTCTCACTTACGCGAAATTGAATAGTTTGAATTTGGGTGTTCGGTCGGAACACATTAATGGTGCCCATACTAGAATCCGGTTTTTTTTTTGTTTCAATGGATTTACTTAAATCAATAAGTTTTTTTTTTATTTTTTTTGATCGCACTTAAACTATGTGTTTATGGTAAGTGCAAAAGGGAAAGGAAAAAACCCCGACCAGTCCGACGAGCTATTGTCCGAGTATTAGCAAGAAGTGCGAACCTCCAATCCCTATGCACCCGGTTAGGCAACAGCCACGGCCGTTTGTTTTTATTTTTTGGTAGATGGCCAAACGAAAGGCAAAAACTGAACCCGAACATCCCCACCAATACATATATGGCGCCCAACGTGGGGCCCTAGCAAGAACGTAAAACTTTTACTTCTTGCGTAAGCACGACTAACACCTAGTGCACAACAATCCCCAATCGAAACTCGAAGTTATACCATATCAATTACTACCTATTATTTTTTAATTACCCTGTTAGGCCCCTTTCTCGGGAAAATACGTTGTGTTCAGACAGTAGTTAGTTGTAGGAATTTGCGATTGTAATTCAGGCATTGCTGGATTAGTCGACCACAATTAATTACTAGTACTTTAAGCAGCGGGTAAGATCGGAAAAGAGGGAATAATAATCAAATTTGGGTTAATTGTTTCAAGGACTATTTGGAATTACAACAAACTGGAAATATTTCGGATGTTGTCTAGTAGTCCATGAGCAGTAAAAATCCAAATCAGAAATAGACTCCAGTAAAATAAATAGCACAAATTCAACTACTCAGGTTTGCTTAAGGATTGTAAGCAATAACGTGTGGGAAAAAGACAGATAGAATAAATAACCAAGACTTAATAATACAAGTCCTATTTAGTTTTCCTTTTGTTGTTTGGAAACAAGCAAAAGTTTGCATTCATTATGGCAGTGAGACGAAGCACAGAGAGCATAGTTGCAGCGATTAACGCGCAAGATCCATTTTGTGGCATTTGCCATGAGCAATTGCAAGCAGAACAGCTATCTGCGACTACTCCTTGTCAACACCGTTTTCACGACGTTTGCATAAGCAATACACTAAAGACAACCCCAAAATGTCCAGTATGTGAGGCAGATTGCAACCCAGGGCAACTAATATTTATGAACAATACACTGGCAGCGGAGTTACACTCAGCTGGTAATGCTGAAACAGACGAAACTCTATCGCGAAATACTCTACCTTGCCAAGATGGTTCGACTACTACAGGTATCAGGAGAGGTCAGCGATTCGGAAAAGGGCGAGGAGCCACGCCCAAGCGAAGTATGCAAACTAGGTCTATGAATCGAAATCATAGAGAATATTTAGGTAGTTGCATGTCTTTAGGCAGCAACGGAAATAAGTCAGTGGACAATGGTCCAAATGTAGAGACAATTACCTATATCAACGAAGCTCTACAATCTCAGCAAAGGACTTTAATAGCAGAACTCAAAAACGTTATTAAAGCTTCTGTTGAACAATCACTGCAAGAGAAGTTAGCAACATTAAATGTACGAAGTGAGCAAGCTGAATCAACACGCTCTAGATTAGTTCAGTCTCCAAGGGGATTAGGTGCTGATACTCTCCCTAATAGTGCCCAGAACTCTGACATACCCCTTGACTGCGGACCATACAGCCCCAGAGGTAGCAATCGATCAAACTCAAGTTTGAGTTCAGAAAAAGCAGCTAGCATTATGCAAACCTGGCGACTTAAATTTGACGGTTCGAAAGACTCTATGCAGATAGATGAATTCTTGTATCGAATTCGTTCATTAACGGCTCAAAATTTGAACGGCGACTATAGGCTGCTTTGTGACAATCTTCATTTACTTTTTTTTGGGAAAGCCAATGATTGGTTTTGGAGCTTCCACAAGAAAAACCCACAGTATACCTGGTTGGCTTTCTGTACGGATTTCCGACTTAGATTCGAGGACGTTAAAGACGACTTTGACTTGTGGGAACTAATTAGGAAAAGACGCCAGAAAGATCAGGAGACATTTGATGATTTTCAATCAGCGATTGAAGGCCTGGTTAGCCAATTATCTAACGAAATAAGCGAAGACAAGCTTGTTGACCTATTAAAACGCAATGCGAGAACAGCGCTCAGGTACGAACTATTGCATTTGAAGATTAGAACTCGAGCAGAATTAAGAGAGGAAGTTAAGAAACATGAAAGTTTCTGTAGAGAAACTGGCTCGTTTCCCAATCGAACCAAATACGGTAGAGGTAATGTCTCTGAGTTACTGGAAAATAATGATATAGAAGATAATATTTCAGAAATACAGAACAAGAAAATAGTGTGCTGGAATTGCGATAAAGTGGGACACCGATTCGATGACTGCATGGGAGAAAGGCGTATATTCTGCTACGGTTGCGGTGCTAAAAATACTTTTAAACCCAATTGTAGCAAATGCAATCTTTTGGGAAACCGGAAGCGGGATGCGCAGACCAACACCAGTTTGACGCATCCCACAAAAGAATAAAGTCCTTGCCAGAAATACAGTCATATGGTAGTTTGGCGCAATCAACTCCAAATACTATATTTACAACTTATATGGCAAATACATGTTCAGTCGCCGAGACTGCAACTCAAACTGATATTGAAAATAAGTACGTACCGTACCATATTAGAGTAAAACACTATCTTGACACACGAAGACGAATTTTTAGCAGCATAGAACCCATCGAATTTCTCAGTCGGCCAAAACGCTCTACTGTTCGACTTAGGAAATTCTGGAAAAATATTAAAAGTCTTCGTAAGAAGCTTGTTCAATCAGTGTTTATGAGCTCAGATAACCGCTTGTACACTGAGTTAAGCCTAGAGGGAGAAAAATATGTAGCATTATTAGATTCCGGAGCGACGATTAGTTGCCTCGGTAATGTTGCAGCTAAGTCACTGTTGTCACATCCCAAAGCGCGCAAATGCTCTGGATCAATCCGAACAGCTAACAACGCTATTTGCCCAGTGGTAGGCAAACTGACACTTAAAGTTGAATTTCGAAAACAAGTGCATAATGTTGATTTTTATGTTATACCCGATTTGAAACAAGATGTTTACTTAGGCATAAATTTTTGGCAGGACTTTGGACTGTTAACGAATTTAATTCGTCCTGATGAGTCCGTAAATGAATTAGACAACAGTAACGAACAGGATATCCAGGAAACAGCGAAAATGCATCAGCTAACCGCTGAAGAAAAGTCACGATTAAATTCGATCATTTCTAATTTCTATTCTTATGAAAAGGAAGGATTAGGACGCACTGAGTTAATCGAACATCGCATTGAAATAGATAATGTGACCCCCGTCAAACAAAGACATTGGCCTATTTCGCCAGCCGTTGAAAAGCTAATGTTTGACGAGATCGAGAAAATGCTAGCTTTAGATATAATAGAGGTATCGCATAGCCCCTGGAGCAGCAACTGCGTCCTTGTGCAAAGAAAGGATAAAAACAGGCTGTGTCTAGATTCTCGAGTCATAAATAAGTACACTCGTAAAGATGCGTACCCTCTACCCCATATCGACGGAATTCTTAGTCGTCTGCCGCCGGCTAAATATATAACGGGCCTCGATATGAAGCACGCATTCTGGCAGATACCCCTAGAAGAAAAATCACGTCAGTATACCGCTTTTACAGTCCCTAATCGTCCATTATTTCAATACAAAGTAATGCCGTTTGGATTGTGTAACGCTCCTCAAACGCTTTGTAGACTAATGGAACGCGTGATACCAGCCCATTTGCGGACCCGCGTATTTGTCTACTTAGATGATTTACTTCTGCTATCAGAGGACTTCGATTCGCATATGTTGCTTTTGCAGGAAGTAGCGCTGCACTTGCGTAAAGCGAACTTGACAATCAACATCGCAAAATCAAAATTTTGTATGCGGGAAATTAAATATTTGGGCTTTATAATTGGGTATGGTCAACTAAAGACGGACCCTAGCAAAATACAAGCTATTAACGAATTCCCTGTACCAAAAAGTGTAAAACAACTGAGACGTTTTCTTGGACTCGCTGGATGGTACAGACGTTTCGTTAATCATTATGCAACAGTTAGCTTTCCGCTTACAGAGTTGCTAAAGAAATCGAAAGTATTGAAATGGAACACTGATGCTGATTCCGCTTTCAACACCTTAAAAACACTTTTAACTTCTGCACCTGTATTGGCTACACCCGACTTCTCAAAACCTTTTAGATTAGTTTGCGATGCTAGCACAACTGGTTTAGGATGCGTTCTAGCTCAACTAAATGAACAGGAAGAGGAGGCTCCAATAGCATACATGTCAGAGAAACTGTCAAAGGCCCAACGGAATTATAGTGTGACCGATCTGGAATGCTTAGCCGTAATAAGAGGTATTTTTAAATTTAGAGCGTATATAGAAGGACAGGACTTCGAAGTAATAACTGATCATGCTTCCTTACAATGGCTCATGAGACAGAAGGATCTCAGAGGACGTCAAGGTAGATGGGTGATCAAATTACAGGGCTTCAAGTTTAAAGTCTCGCATCGTAGCGGTACACAAAATGTTGTCGCTGATGCGCTATCGCGTCAAAATGAGACAGAGCTTGCGGAATTCGAGGAGCAAGGTCCCATAGTTGACCTGTCTTCACCCGAATTCAAATCGCCAAACTATCTGGATCTGATAGACAGTATTTCTTCTAACCAATCCAGATTACCGGATTTACAGATAATCGACGGTTTTATATATAAACGTACTGAGCCAGCGACGGGATATAGCATTCAGGAGAAACAATCCTGGAAACTCTGGATACCTTCGTCTCTCACCCTACAAGTGATAGAGAGAGCCCACAATCCCCCTAACGCTGCACACAGTGGCATCGGAAAAACAATAGAGAAACTCAAGAGATACTTGTTTTGGCCAAAAATGTCGGCCCAAATTCATGAATATATAGTCAATTGTAAAGTTTGTCGGCAAACGAAAAGCCCCAATGTAGTGTTGAGACCTCCAATGGGCAAGCCTATGACGTCAGAACGGCCATTTCAGAAGCTCTACATGGATCTTCTAGGGCCATATCCTCGGTCCAAGAACGGCAATATAGGTCTCCTGATGGTTGTAGACCATAATACTAAATTTCATTTTATGTGGCCTCTTCGCGCGTTTACTACCAACAAAATTATCGACTATCTAGAAAACACACTGTTTTGCACTTTCGGCGTGCCAGAAACTATTCTGACCGACAATGGCTCTCAGTTCATTTCTAGTGTCTTTAAAGCTTTTCTTACCCGGTATGGAATCATCCACATTCGAACGGCAATATACTCGCCACAAAGTAATGCGAGTGAGCGAGTAAATAGATCAGTATTAGCGGCTATTAGAGCCTATATCGGAAAAGATCATTCAAATTGGGATAAAAAGCTGTACGCCATTTGTGCTGCCTTGAGAGCCAGCGTTCACCAAAGTACAGGGTACTCTCCATATTTTTTAGCGTTTGGACAGAATATGATGTTAAACGGTAAAGACTATGACTTGCTAAAGCGACTTAACCTCTTGTCCGAAGACACTGCTATTGAGAGGCCCACAGCCTTACAAGTAATCCGTCAGATAGCTAAAGACAATGTAGCTCAGTCACATAATAGAAATGCTAAGATATATAATTTGCGCAGCCGAAACATAAGTCTTACTGCCGGTACGAAAGTCTTCGCCCGCAATTTTTGTCAGAGTAACGCGCAAAAGAAGTTTAGTTCTAAGCTTGCACCAGTTTTCATTCCGGCGATTGTTGTACAAAAAGTCAGCCCAGCCTACTATCAACTAGCTAATGAAACAGGTAAATGCATCGGTACTTTTCATCTCAAAGATATACAAACTAGTAACAAGTTCTAACTCAACAGTTATTATAGTTATTTCAGTTTATGTCCCGCTAGCAAGTAGCGCTGCATAAACTGTGGTGTAGTGGCTGCTTTGCACTCCCCAAACGAATCTGCTTGTTGATCAGCTGCTCTAGTTTAGTTACTGCTTTACCGACCGCGCTGGAAGCCAATTCTTCGTTTATTGCACAGCTGAGGGCATGCGCAACCGAATAGGGCGAATAGAGAGGAAAAAGGTGATAAGATCAGGCCATAGTACCGTTTTAAAATATAATCGCGTGATGTAGAGCTTTTGAAAGCTTCCTTATTTTTTTTGTCGTTGGGAAGTAGTAAAGGTTAAAAGTACAGCTCAGCATGTCAGATATATTTGAAGCGCGTGCGAGTTAAGTTCATAACATTTTTTTCTTTCTTTGCAAATAATTTTTGCAAAGACATCAACGACCAAGGCTGCCATTGTGGTACAGTTTGGAAGTGTTCTTTTGGTACGCTAATAGAAACCAAAAACCTTCATAACAACTCGACCCACTAACCTAATTGTGATTCGGGGTGACCCTTAAAGAAAAGGTATTTATATGTGCTAGTGTTGAGACTTGGAACTAATTAAGGCTTCCACAGTTTCCGTGCCTGCTCAGTTGACTAGATTTAGACGTACTAGTCGGCACTACCAGAGGGGGAGATCGGACCAGACAAGGGCAACACCAAGAGCACGTGTCGCACTTAGCAACCCAGCAGAACCAATTTTGTTGCTATTTTACTTATCAGCCGCTGTCTTGCGAAGAACAACATCTGGCATAGCCTCGGAAAACGGCGTCAAGCGGGTGAAACGCTTACTATTTATGCAGCACCATCGGGACCGCATGCACTAAGCATATAGTGTAACCTGCAGAGAGTAACAAAGGAGCCGAGTCTGTATTACTTTTGGTGTACCCCTTTCGCTTGCTTAGCAGCATTGCCATATAATTCCATTAATTGTTTAACGTTGCCAAGATGGACGGCTAATAGATCCTTAGTTTTAATTTTTATTTCCTTTAATTTTTTTTTCTTTTACTAATTTCTTTAAAACAAAATGTGCAATGAATATGCCTAAATAAGTTAAAGCGAGAGGAAATTCCTACACCACCGACCTTGACCGTTGCTCATATATATATATATATATATATATATATATATACATGTGTTTATATACTTATAAATTTCTTTTTTGTAATATTTAGCAACAGCGATCATAATCGTCGTATACATTGGGCCCAACGTCTGCTTCGAAGGATATCGCGTGAGTAAGAGTTTAAACCAATGCCTATAGATATATGTAGTTATATACACACATGAACATTTAAATGCAGTTAATTTAGCAAGACGGTAAATTAATTACTATCCGTCAAGTCTCAAGATAATGTTGGTGAATTTCTCCTTCCCCTTAATTTCTTTATGGGATTTAAACTAGTTATTGCACATTCATCATATTAACTTTGGATTCAAATTTTGTTTGGAAACTGTATATTTTTTTTGTAAATAGAGTTATACTCACCTTGCTATTAATTGGCAACAAAATTGAACAATGCGTGAATAAACGAATTATATTAGCTTATATGATATGATATCCTAATTCCATAATTAATTGTTTTATCTGTCAAGTACCCATGTTAGCCGCTTGCAATCTATAGTGATGGTTTAAGAACCTGAAATAGGGACAAGCATCCACATTCCATTTTTTTTGCTTGTCAAGGTAGGGAGGGTAAAGAGAAAGAGAGACGATCAACACCTTAGTTCTCTCACTTACGCGAAATTGAATAGTTTGAATTTGGGTGTTCGGTCGGAACACATTAATGGTGCCCATACTAGAATCCGGTTTTTTTTTTGTTTCAATGGATTTACTTAAATCAATAAGTTTTTTTTTTATTTTTTTTGATCGCACTTAAACTATGTGTTTATGGTAAGTGCAAAAGGGAAAGGAAAAAACCCCGACCAGTCCGACGAGCTATTGTCCGAGTATTAGCAAGAAGTGCGAACCTCCAATCCCTATGCACCCGGTTAGGCAACAGCCACGGCCGTTTGTTTTTATTTTTTGGTAGATGGCCAAACGAAAGGCAAAAACTGAACCCGAACCTCCCCACCATTACACCGGCAATTTTTGTTGGATTTGTTTTTAGCTTCCACTCGATATTTGCGTCTTGGGCATTAGCTTATAGCACCTAGCTGTACAAACCGGTCAAGAGCGCGGCATTAAACATTTATGACCGTATTGTTCAGCTTTGGAGCCGCAAAAAGCGCCGTTGGTCGGCCATAGCTAAGGCTAAGTTGAAGTTGGGGCTCTACAAAAAAAGCTTGGCTTGAACTCTGAGTGCGTCCATTGGCTTGTGTTTATATGATTGTGTACATAGTATGTATGTTAATAAATATATATAAAGATATATGCAAATTTGTTGCAAAAAAGTCGGCACATGACCTTTGCTTAAGCTAAAGTCAAAGCCTTCCCCTTGAATGTGTTGCATTGTTTATTTGCTTGCATGTCTACATGCCGCGTCTGGCAATATGAAAATATTTGGATTGTTTGGCCTTTGGCAGTGGGAAAGAGCCAACACCCGAGCTAGACACCAGACACGCATGCAACACTGTGCGCATAAACAACGAATCAATCAAGCGACGCCACCGACGCCATTTTATGAGTATGCGCATGCCCAGGGGCGCCAAGTTGCGCCGGGTTTAATGTAGTTGTTCTATAAGTGCATAATTATATTAGATAGCCCGGTTGATAAGGCCCTGCAGCTGGCCATTAGAGGGCAAGCGCATTAAATTGTAATAAGCGCGGAAGGCGCAGGCATTACAAAAATTATTGTAATAAGTGTGTAGCGCAGAGATGCCAAAGTATCTCATAGATGCAAATGCAGTCGCACTCGATCGCAGCTGCTAAGCTTGAGTTACTTGCGAGGCGCACAGCAGTAGCAATTGAAAACATTCAAGTGCCAGCTGATCTGCATAAGTGAACGCCACGTAACAGATACGCAGCAAGCCAGATGCGTTGTGAGTATCTGCATCTATGCACAAACGTACAAACAAGTATCTGCAAGAACGCAGACGTCGATGGCCGTTACGGGGTCGTTCATCTTGATGGGAGCGTGGCAGCGTTTTGATGACTGACTGCCTGTAATGCGGAAAGCGCGTAGCACGCAAAAAATAAGTACATTCATACATATATAAGAAAATGTGCAAGTATCTGCGAGATACTTTGTGCGTTAGGCCGATGCAAACGCTGTCCCAAGTCTCACACACGCTCACAATGACAGTCGACAGTTGAATTTTGGTGTTAAACGAGCGCTCGGCTTGGCATAATTTCCAGTATTCTCCATTGGAACTCGCCAGCCAGATTGCGCTGTCGTCTATTCATAACAATCATAATAATGAGCAGGAAGTTTGAGAAAACGCCAAAATCGGCTTATGGCATTAGGCGTCAGTGTTATGTGACAGACAGACAGGCAGACAGACTGACAATAGCAACAAAACCTAAACTGAAACTTAGCCGTGATGCTTTGGCGATAATTAAAGGCGAAAACGGTTACAAGGCATTTCTCGTCGCATTGCATAATTTCTCTGCATTTGTATCAATTACAAATTGTACGCTAATTGCAGCAAATCAGTTCGGATCAAATTCAATTTCGTTACTTAATTCAATTAAAATCAAAACTTGCTAGTGAGCTATTGGAAGCATGTGTTTTAATTGAATTTGGTATGCTTTATGCTGTGTGGCAAGCGGAAGCTTTGGCTTAAATTTATAAATTTTTCATAATATTCATATTCGGATGAGTTAAGGTTTTCCTAAAAGCTCCGGCTGCGGAAGTTTGCTCAAAATTGGTTACCCAGTAGCTGTGGGCAGCCGGGCCAGGCAAACGAGTTTCCAATATTTAATTGCACAAAATTGTAATTGCGCTTAATTGTTGCGCAAACAAAACGGCTACGCTGACTCAATGCGTGGAGATTTTTCATGTTGTTTTTTTTTTTTTTTCATAATTGGCTTTGGCAGCTTGTGAGAAACACCAATACTCAATCTTAATCTCATGTGGGCATTGGATCGTGTGGCTGGTCATGTCATGCAATCGCACACGATATGTGCGCCTATATACAAGATCTGAATGTTGCCGTGACTCAGCGGAAAAGGGCTCAGGTGAGGCGCGGGGCGAAACAGCTGCAACTTAAGTGTGTAAACAAGTTTCTAATAGATTTTCTATTAACATTTAACATATTGTTTCATATACACGCAAAGCTTTTCTGAAGAGTACAAAGAATAATATTAAGTTGACACAATCTTAGATCAAATAATAAGGATAATTCTTAATGTTAAAGTCCATGGCATATTTTAGCTCTCAACGCTCCAAGTAATTCACTAATTACTCGAAAGGCGAGTTAGATTTAAAAATAAACAAACTGAGTTCAGCACTTGTTTTTTTGGACTGTTTTACTTTTGTTAAAAGTCAAGTGTGGGGCGTTGCAAGGCACGCCGTTCGACTAAGTTGCACAATCCTATAGAAAAAGTTAACCGCCGGCTAAACTCTTCGACTGCAGCTGCATATGTAATTCGTATGTATGTGGGTTTGCATGTGTATGTCGGCTCTCAACACCCACACAGAGCCACGAACAATGCACATTTCTCGCTGCACTCTAAAACTACTTTCAAAATGTTTTCACTTGCCGCAGACACACGAGGCGCAACACACCTTAAAACTGCCCACCCATCATGACCAGGCAAAGACATAGCCGGTTCAAGCTGCCAACACAACAACCACACAACCACACAACCACCCACCACCCACCGCAATTTGAAGAACGTGCTGAGAGTATATTTAAGCTATCTACGGGTTGAAAATTGTGGTTAAATAGTTAGAATTATCTCAGGCAAATTTGGAAAGCGGCGCCAAGGCAAAGCTCTCTGCGCGCTGCACGTGCTGCAGAAATCACATGAATCACGCGATCGATTCGAAAGGGGCCACTAAATCATGAGGATGGCGGTTTGATTTAGAGTTGAAAATTGCAGGCAATCTGTGCAAAAAAATAAAAGCTTAGGCGAAAGGAGCGTGACCACGAAGGATTTACACATGGCTATAAATCGTATACAGCAAGGGGCAAGGGGGGCCCTGCAACAGCAACAACAACAATAACAACAACAAAAACCCAAATCTCTATAACAAAAGCAAATGCCGGCAATCGGCGTCGGGTTTTCTTTATTGATTAGTCGATTTTATTAATGTTGGCCGAGCTGTACGTCGCATTGCTCTTTTGTCGGCTTGCAAAATCGTGCCTTGTAATTATTGGCCATTATTATTGGGTCTAAATGCGCTCACCATTCACCAATAGCCGGAACTGTAACATCGACAGTGTTTGCTCTGGCCTGGCCAACTAACAAGGAAACCGGCAGCCACGTTGTTTACGCTTCAATGAGTTCATAATCAATGCGGCTTTGTTGCTGCTGCGATAATAATGCGAATAAAATTGCAGCAAGTGCAAAAATGAATTCAATTAGAAAACGGACTGGCCGCAGCCCATTGCCAGACAATTTAGCAATACCCTGGAAATAGTTACTCGATGCAAACGGCAGCAGTTTTAACTCAAATACGCATCTAATTGCTTGAGTTAAAGCCATGTTACAAAATACAATTGACGATCGGAAATTCTAGTAAAATCTTATTGACAACTAAAAGAAAGAGAGGGCGACAGAGACAAATATACATATAGAGAAGAGAGACAAACCAGTTGACGTATCTTTAGTCATCGAGATTGCGGCGAAAATTATAATGAGCAGTGCGCAAGCGACTTGGAGACAAGTTCGGACGTGTGAAACGGCGATGAAATCATGCAGACAGACCCCGACCACAATTCAAGGTTATGGGTATTCGTAAATATCAGACCAAATAAGCTGGCCCCGCTAAGTTGTCGTTTGCGTTAGCCAGGCTCAAAGTGATTTGGCAATTAGCCAACGCCAGCAATAAATAATGCTACATATAAAGCTACATAGGTTAGAAATCAAATAAGTAAAAATTAACATATTAACAGGGCTAGACCATGGGATACCCTGTACTAAACTTAAGTGGAGTGCGTGCATTTATTTCAAATAAGGGCCTAAATATTTTCACAGGCCTCTCCTATCTTTCCTCTACCTCTCTCTTTGTGTACATATTAAGTACAAAAGAAATAGGGATAATTGATAGTGCTAAACTTAACTTAGCAAATATTAATGGATTCACACTCTAACGAATGCTTACACTATCCATCTTTCAAGCGATTATGCCTTATTAAGACAGTTACCGCATATAGGGTATGGAAATTGAAAGTGATTTCTGAGGGCCAGCCAAGCAAGACCATTGCGATACAAAACATGCAGCTTACAGATACATATATGTATTTTGCTGGTGCTGAAGTGCAGGCAACAAACTTTACGTAAGCGCCAAAAAGATGCGCCAGAAAGTGTTTCGCCATGAAGCAAATGCCCAAAATTGACAGC